AGGACAGGCAGGAGGAGGCAGAGGAGGAGGTAGAGGAGGAGGCAGAGAAGGGAGGAGGAGGGATTCCTAGGGATTCCTTGGGCACCCTAGTAATCCTAAGGTTTCCTGGGGATTCTTACCCCTAGGGGTTCCTAGGGATTCCTGGTTATCCTAAGGGTTCCCAGGGACCCCTAGGGATTCCTGATAATCCTAAGGGTCCCTAGGGATTATTAATCCTAGGGGTTCCTAAGGAATCATATGGGTTCTTAGGGAGTCCTAGGGATTTCTAGGGATTTCCTCGGGAACCCTAGCAATCCTAATGGTTCCTAGGGGTACACGTTATATATACATATAGATACTATACAGCGCACGCATGCACAGGTACACACATACAAACATTACACATTATGATTCACACACGTTTACACACGCATTCTATACATTCACACATTAGGTATTCTACTATAAACGCATACGCATTGCACTGCACACGTATACATTAGACATGTTCGAACATATACAATGCACATTGTGTACGCGTACATACATATACATACACATACTTACATACAGTATGCATTGTGCTCATATCAGCCACATGCATATATACATACACGTTCACATACACACATATACATACATAAACATCTGCACATACCAACATCCATGTAAATACATGTATACGGAACACATACGTTCAAGGTTATGTTATGGACTCCTCGGCTAGGATTAGTAGTAGTAGTACTAGGACTCCTCGGCTAGTAGTAGTAGTAGTACTACTACTACTACTACTACTACTTCTACTCACAATACGAGTAGCAGTAGTGGCCTGTATACGGAATAGTAGTAGCAACCGTATGAAACACTATAGTCGCAGTACCCGTAGTACTAGTAGTAGTAGTAGTAGTAGTAGTAGTAGTAGCAGTAGCAGTAGCAGTAGCAGTAGTAGTAGCAGTAGTGGCAGTAGTAGTAGCAACAGCAGCAGCAGCAGCAGCAGCAGCAGCAGCAGCAGTAGTAGTAGTAGTAGTAGTAGTAGTAGTAGTAGTAGTAGTAATAGTAGTAGTAGTAGTAGCAGTAGTAGTAGTAGTAGTTGTAGTAGTAGCAGTAGTAGTAGTAGTAATAGTAGTAGTAGTAGTAGTAGTACTAGGTCGTAGTAGTAGGTCGTAGTAGTAGTAGTAGTAGTAGTAGTAGTAGTAGTAGCGGTCGTTGTAAAAAAGCCGAAATGATAGCCGTGATGGTAATCGCAATCGTAGTAGTAGTAGTAGTAGTAGTAGTAGAAGTAGTAGTAGTAGTAGTAGTAGTAGTAGCAGTGGTAGCAGCAGCAGTAGTAGTAGTAGTGGTAGTAGTAGTAGTATAGTGGTGGTAGTGGTCGTAGTAGTAACAAAACACAATACAAGTAGTAGTCGTAGACGTAGTAGAAACAAATAGTGGCAGTAGTCGTAGTAGTAGCAGTAGTAGTAGTATCAGGAATAATAATATTCGTGTGCGTAGCAATCGTAAGCATAGTAATCGTATGATGTGTAATATAAGATGTATAATACACAATCAAGTTTATCCGGGGATGATGAACGTCAGCCTCGCCGCCCATCTCCCCCGACCAAATCTGTCTAGGCCAAAAAGAATCAACACTTAAGGGTCAATGGGGAATGTTCGCAGAACTGTGAGGGAGGAAACTATGCTCGCAGAACTGTGAGGGAGGATGATATTTACGGAGAGGGTGGGGAAAGAAGGTCTGAGAAATGATATGGAGAAAAGAATGTGGGTAATGATGATTACGGCGCAAACAATGGGGCCGACCGGTCTTATTGTCCTTGCGGGCGTCGTTGCTGTAATGGGGCTCCGTGGAACCGAAATTGATGATGCTGTTCTTGTCGGGGTGCACACATTTTCTCTACAGTACCGAAGCGTGAATGTCGACACTCGTGCTCCTTTTTCTGAACAGTGTCGCGCCTCAAACAACGCTGCTGGGCCCCTGGCTGCAGCACCGACCCCAGGGACCCGAACCCCCCGCTGCCGCCCCAAGAAACTCTCCCCCGACAAAGAGAGGGGAGACGGCTACGATGACGCCGACGACGCCGCCGACGGCGCTGGCGCAGACGCTGGTGACGGACAGCATGGCGGCCAGGCAATGAATTATTGAGGCCCCCCCGACGCAGCGAGCCCAGGATGCGCTCTTTTGTGCGACCAGGTGCTTGCGATTGCGGCCTTCCAGGCAGACAGCGTGCCCAAATACAAAGCCGAGGGAGGGACGTTGAATGGATCATCCCCCCTCGGGGGCGCGCAAACATGGACCAGCGATCCATGGATTTGGCGCGCGGTCGCCAAATCCATGGATCGGGGGAGGTGCTCTCCCCAAAATGCGGCCAAAGCCGCCTCGTTCGGCGGCGGAAATCCGCTGTTTCACATGGTAACGGGACCCGTCGCTAAGCCACGCCCCCTTAATTCATGTTTGCGATCGCCTGAGATAGGGGTGCATCCGAACATCTCCCTAGGGGGTGTACCCCCGAGTCCCCCAACAGTTCCGAGCGGCCAGTTTCTTGGGGGGACTCGGGTTTGGGGGAAAACGATCTGCGGGGCGGGGGTCTATCCAGAACCACCGCCTGGGAGATTGATCTTTGGGAACCTCGGCAGCCGGTGGACATAGATATCCGAGTGAAAAGGTCGAACGGTCTAACACCCTTCCTGGGTGTGCGGAAGAGGGCTCCCACGGTGAGAATTCTTGCTCTTGTTGTCTGTTTCTTTGTTGTTGCCGACGTCGTCGGCCTCGCTCGCGACCCGCCCGCGAAGCACCAACGACCCACCCGCGACCCGCCCGCGACTCCCCCGCAGGCTGCCCTCGACCCACCCAGACGGCTTCGACGAGCAGTCGGAGCCCGCGGCGGGCTCCTCGTGCCGAGCGGCGCCTGCGGCGGGCCGCTCCAGAGCCTCGCAGACTGCCGACGACCCCGCCTCTCCCGCACTCTCATCCGCGATTGAGGAGGAGATGCAGAGGTAAAAAAATGCCCCCCCCAAGAACCACCCCGACACGCGAGGTCCTGTAGTGAACGCGCCCAAAGAAGGAATCGAACAGGGCAGGGCTGCTTAGTAAACGCCCAGGGCCGCTTCGTAAATGCCAGTTGTCCGGTCCGGGTGTCCCTCCCTTCACTATGGTACATGTTGCCCACCCCTCGAGGACCCGAATATATCCATGCTCACGCTTGCCGAAGCCCCCGAAGATCGATCCCCCAAAGGGTGCTTATGCACGAATCTGGTCTCGGAAGATCGCCTGCGGCCGACGACGGCGCCGACGACCCATTGCCATGAAACAAACGTGTCCCGAGGGACGTGGGCACAGGACCCCCAGTGCCTTCCCCCCAGAGGCCAACCCTTCATCCTGCATCGTGTTCTGACGGTCTCCTTGGGGCCCGTGGGGGGCCCTGGGACAGGGGCAGCCAAAAACGGAGGGAAATTTCTCACGACCCGTTCCCCTCACCGACCAGCCATAACTGGGGGAACTGTGGTCCTTGCCCCCCTGGGGGAACCCATCGCATCGACGATCTCTCGAGAGGGGTGCCGAAATCGCTGGGTCCCCCAGGGGGGTAAGGACTTCAGCTCCCCCCGTTGTGGCCGGCCTGCCTCACGCAGGACCCACGGAGGGCGGGTTGAGACGACGGCAGCTCAGAGCGGGTATCCTGGGCATGGCTTAATGGGGGAGTCACAAATGGGGGGGGTCAGAAAAGGTCCTCTTTCGTGCCCCTTTCGGGCCCCTCCAGCGCCCCAGGGGGCTCGTTTAGGTACCGTTTGGGTACCTTTTCGGACCACCCTCGCCACCCCCCCATTTATGACCCCCCCATTACGCAACGCCCAAACTGGCCCCTCCTGCGTACACCTCCGGGGACGAGCAGGCCCCCCGACGTCCGACTGCCGCTGTCTCCACTCGCCCTCCCCTGAACCTCCTTCACTGACGAGCGGACAACACACACACACAGGGAGCCCACAGAAGACGTACGCGCCCAGCTGTGTACATGACCACGGCCCCTTGACTCACGAGACCTGCCGCGTGATACGAACATTCGCGCAATGTGAACTCTCTAAACCAGCGTGGATTCATTTACGTGTACGTCCTTCTTTCGCTCCTGAACACACACACACACCCATATCCATAGAATGGACGGACGGGGCTGTAGGTGCGTGCTGTCATATGGGGGTCCCCGCTCGAACGGGAGACTCCCCAGGGGACCGACAACCCGCACCTGTAGCCAGCCCTCCTCCCTCCGACCTCCTTCTCCTCCTTCCCCTCCTCTTTCTCCTTCTCCCTCCTCCCTCCTCATTCCTACCCCGTGAAGTCGGGCCTTTCCCCCTACAGGCAGATTTTGGAAGAACGAATAACATCAATTCAAACAATACTCCAACAAACACTCAAACTATTTAAACATATCGTCCCCATCTTATTTGTTGAAATATCGTCAACATGTTTTTGTTGACTATGTGGGCATAATCCTCCTGAATAGGTGCACGCCCGGCTTCATCCTGCCTGCTCCCCCTTGTGGGTATGGGTGTGTGTGATGTTCGCTCGCCCCTCATTTTGGCAGCCCGAAATGGTACGGAAAAAAATGGACACAAAATGCCCAACAACAAATGCTGCCCCAAAACCGACAGCGGCCGCTGCTGGGCAGGCGGCCTTCTGTCTCAAGTGGACACGGGCCGAGGACCGCGAGTCCTGTTCAACATGAACAGGAACTGCTGTTGGGCATCGTTCCCATCGTCGCCGCCGCCATCGTCGCCGAGGGCACCATCGTCGCCGCGGGCGCCATCGTCGCCGCGGGCGCCATCGTCGCCACCGCCGCCATCGTCGCCGCGGGCGCCATCGTCGCCGCGGGCGCCGTCATCGTCGTCGTCGTCGTCGTCGCCGTCGTCGCCCTCATCGTCGTCGTCGTCGTCGTCGTAGTCGTGCCCATTTCGTTCGTGCCGACTCCTGGCCAGCGCCGCTGCTGCCGCCGCCGCCGCCAGCGGCGAGCGCCGCGCCGAGGAGGCCCCGGGGCCTCCGGGTGCCGCACGGTGAAGGCCTGCACGGCGTGGTCCACGGGCTGGAGGCCCGCCGGCGTCTCGAGGGCGCGCGAGGAGGCCCTGGCGAGGTTGCCACAACGACGACGACGGCGGCGCCGGGAGGGGGGCTCTCGAGGGCGTCTCTCGAGGGCGCGCGAGGAGGCCCTGGCGTTAGGTCGGGCGCGTCCCCTACAAGGCGCATTTAGGACGACAAATGAAAAATAGTCAAACAAGAACCCAACAGATTCGCAAATCGTCCAAACTCGCCCCCAAACTATTTTTGACTATTTTGAAGATTCCTCCTGTAGAGGGGCACGCCCGACTTGCCCCAGGCGAGGGCCAAAGACGACGACGGCGGCGCCGTGGAAGGAACCCAGACATCCGACATATACAGACATCAAGACGGAGCTTTGCGCAGTTCTCGGCCTCCGGGAGCCCTCTCCACACACCTCTCTGCCTGCGTGCCAAACCTCACGAGGCGCGCGTCGCGGGAAGACAGTGCTGCAACGCTACCCCGCAAACTGATATGCCAAAATAGGAGAAGGGAGCAAGAGGAAGGAAGGGGGAGAGGAGAAAGACGACCTGCACACGGACAGGAGTGTGTCTTAGCCTTCGTCGAGCGCCCTGCTTCAGCTTCGGGGCCCTTTACCACGCCCCCTGGACAGTCACAAAATTACTGATGATGAAAAACTGGCCCTATGAAAGGGTCGGGACTCCCGAAGACCCAGCATTGAACAAGTCAAGGGATCGGATGTCTGGGAGGAGCGCGTCGGGGCTTAGAAGCACGCTAGGAGGCCCTGCGGTGAGGCTGTTTCCTGGCCTGCTCCCTTGTCTGCGCCGGATGCCTTTCGTGAAAGGAGCCCTGACGGTGGACGCGCACTTCTACATACGGGCGCTGCACTGGAAAACCTGGCCAGTAGTCGGGAGGCGTCCGTCCCGCAACCTGGTCAGCCTTCCTCCCAGGAGTCCTGGAACTCGCTGGCTGACAGCGCTGATTCAGGAGGGCCCGCCAGTGCGCCTTAACCAAACAGGCGCGGCAGCGCCGCGCTTGCAGGAAACGTGATTGGCACGCGGGAGGCGGATAGGGGGGCGAGGAGGCTGTGTGTGTTGCTCCCGCGGACTCTGGGGCGCAGTTGCCGCCAGAGCCAGGTGCGCATCGATCGATGCGCACCTGGCCCTGTCAGAAGATCCCCGAGATCTCGAAATCTCGGGGATCTTCTGACCCGGGTCAGTCCAGACCCATGTCAGCCAGGCCTTGCAGAATCCTGTAAACATCCTCCCACATCCTGCACCCAAACCCGGGTCAACGCGAAGGCTCCTGCAAGAGCCTGCGGGATCCTGCACCCAAACCCGGGTCAATACGACCCTGCCCCTGCAGGATCCTGCAAGATCCAGCGCTCTGGCTGGCCCCAGCTTGCATTGACCCCCGTCTCTTGAGCCCCGAAGATCCAGGCCAGAACAAGCCCCTGTGGTCGATTATTGTTTCTGTTTTGTGCTTCAATGTCGCCCCGAGCAATCGCTTGATGCTCACGCCGTCTGAAGGGACAACGCTTGAAAAGCACGGCCGTGGCCAATTGAAAAAACCGGCGCCGCGCTAGCTGCGCGTCAATCTAAATGACCAGTCGGCGCGGTCAAAGCGGACAACCTCGGGTTGTGTGCACCGTCCGCTGGCGCTTGCGGGCCGCCCCTCAATTTCACCAGGGCGCGAAAAACCCGTTGGCGTTGGCGAGCACCGACCCGAAGAAAAGAATGGTCATCGAGATCACGTAGTTGTTCCCGCCCACGTCTCCCAGGCTCAATCCCGCGGGCGGCGGAGGGGTGGTCGTCACCGGCGGCCCGCCGAAGAACTGCATCTCCACCGAGGGGGCGCGCTGGCCCGCGCGGAGCCCCGCCGGGGAGGCGCCGACGAAGGACAGCGCGAGGGAACCCACCAGCATGGCGGCGGCAGCCGCGGCGGCGCAGGCAAGCAGCAGGGACGCGGAACGGGCCATCGCTGGGCCTGGCGGGATGCGCGAGGGCGGTGCCGCAAGGAGGACTCGGCGCTGAACGGCTCGAACCGCAAAGAACTCGAGCCAAAGTAGATACGGAAACCCCGATGGTCGATTCTGAGGTGGCGAGGGGGAGCGAGGATGGACACGCTGATGGCCCGGCGGTGCGAACAACACGCAACAGAACACTTCTGCCACGCTTCTTGGCCCCAGGGACCCTTGCGGATGGATCCCGCTCGAGATTCACACCCACATTAAAAGTTAGGGCGCCACTTAATTTGCAAAGCAACAAAATCTTGAACACACAACCGTTGCTTTGCACATCTACCCGCTGAATCTAAGTGAGCAGGGACCGATCGTCCTGGCATTTCTATAGGCCTACCACGAAGTGTTCTTAGGACCCAGAACTGTTCTAAGAACAGCAAGAATGTTCTTAGAACACATTCCCGACGTGTTATAACAAAACAGTCCCAACCAGAAAAGTTCTAAGCACATTTTGTGAAAACCGCAAAAAGGTATTGTAACGTTGTTTGGTAGGCCTATAGGCACGCCAGGACGCTTCGCCACTGCTTGACATAAAACACCGTCAGGAATGGTTCGTGCGGTGACCCATGACCTCCCGAATGAAGCACTACTGCCGGACTGACGCGCAAATTCAGTTGCTGCACGCTCGTCTCCATGCGGCCTGAACGAAACAGAGGCAAAACCCGCATCCTGGCCGCAACGACTCAACATCTCATAGGAACACACCCATCGCCAAACGCGCGTCAACCCGTAAGGTCTCGACGCTCGAAACCAAACTAAGAAGGGCATGTTGAATCATTACTAACACTTTGAATTGCTATCACCAGACTGGCCTCGTGTGAGATCCTCACGCGCACTCAACTCATCTTAGATTAACGCACGTGCACCGCATGGTGTATTTGACAAGGATGAAGGGGGGGACGATGCCGGGACCAGGTGGGATGGTATGAACTCGTATGGAAGATGAACAACGAGGCATGATCAGAAGTTCATTGCGATACCTCATGGGGGGAGTGGTAATCCCGGGGTGGTGGTGGGGGTAGACTCTAATTTCTTGTAAAAAGAAAACCTACGCGGTGCAACCTATGCAATGCAGTCTACGCGGTAAGTCCGTGACGGTAGGTACCACATGGCATTTGGCAACGACACCGACGTCGACGACGACAGCGACAACGACAACAACGACGACGCCACCGGCAACGACTACGACGACACCGACGACATCTCCAACGACTTCGACGACGACATCGACGACGACGACGACAACTGCGACGATGACAACGCCGACGACGACGACACCGACGACGACGCCGACGCCGACGACGACGAAGACGACGACGACGTCGCCAACGAAGACGACGACGACGACGACGAGGGAGGAGGGAGGACGACGACGGCGACAACGACGACAACGACGAGGGAGGAGGGGGGACGGCGACGGCGCGAACGACGAAGAAGGAGGGAGGACGGCGACGCCGACGACGACAAAGAGGGAGGAGGGAAGATGACGACGACGACGACGACGACGGCGGCGAAATAGGAGGGACGACGACGAGACACCGACGACGGACAGACAACGACGAGGGAGGAGGAAGGACGACCACGGCGACAACGACGACGGAAACGACGACGACGCCAAAGAGGACGACGACGACGACGAGAAAAGACAAAGGACTACGACGGCGACGACGACGACGAGGGAGGAGGGAGGACGGCGACGACGATGACGACGATGACGCAAGAGCGCGCGCGCACGCTTTTGTTGAAAATCCGCGTTGCGAAACCCGTGTTTTTGTATGTGAAATCCCTTCAGGAACCCAGGTTCTTGAAAGTGTTCGGCAAGCGCGCGACGACGCGCGCGGCGCACTTCGTCCCATTTGTTGCAGAGGATTCTCGCGACGGCACGCGCGCAAAGGCGTCCGAAAGATTTCGACACGCGCGTGCGCGAAGCCCGTTTGGTAGATTTGTTTGGGGAAATATGTGCACCCTATAGTTTTTGTTTTAGACTTCGCAAGAGCGCGCGCGTAAGCTTTTTTAGAAAATCTGTGCTGCGGAACCCTGTGTTGGTGTATGTGTTTTTTTGTTCAAGAAGCTTGATTGTGAAATCCTTCTGAAACCTGCAACTGTTGAAGGATTTCGGCATGGGCGCGCGACGACGCGCGCGTGTGCACTTCGTCCCATATGTTGGAAAGGGATTCTTTAAAACAAGAAATAAAAAAGGGAAAACAACACTTAAGATGTTTGATAAACGAGTGCGCGGAGCGGATGCAGATCAATCCACGTAGGAACAACTCAACGCCTCAGAACAATGATTCGAGACAAACTCGTGCACAAGCAAACATCAGGAATCGTTCCTTCGGGTCCCCATGAGCTCCCGAATGGAGCACCAGTGTCGGACTGACGTGCAAAATTAGGTTCTCATCACTTGTCTACACGCGTGCGACAGGAGATACAACACAATTGCGTATCCAACTAGCAACATCTCAGCGCCTCAGGCCAATGACTCGACACAAACTCTTGCACCATGTCCCAGACATCAGGAATCGTTCGTCCGGATCCCCATGAACTCCCGATTGGAGCACCGGTGTCGGACTGACGTGCAAAATTAGGTTCTCATCACTTGTCTACACGCGGGTGCCAGGAGACACTTGACGCAGGAGCACTTAATAAACGCCTCAGGCCAATGATTCGACACAAACTCGTGCGAAACGACCAGAAACATCAGGAATCGTTCGTCCGGATCCCCATGAGCTCCCGATTGGAGCACCAGTGTCGGACTGACGTGCAACATCAGTTCTTCATCACTTGTCTACACGCGGGTGCCAGGAGACACTGGACGCAGGAGCATTGAACTACCAACATGTAAACGCCTCAGGCAAATGACTCGACACAAACTCGTGCATCATGTCCGAACATGAGGAATCGTTCGTCCGGATCCCCATGAACTCCTGATTGGAGCACCGGTGTCGGACTGACGTGCAAAATTAGGTTCTCATCACTTGTCTACACGCGGGTGCCAGGAGACACTGGAAACAAGAAGCACTTAAATAAAAAAACGCCTCAGGCCAATAATTCGACACAAATTCGTGCGAAACGACCAGAAACATCAGGAATCGTTCGTCCGGATCTCCATGAGCTCCCGATTGGAGCACCAGTGTCGGACTGACGTGCAAAATCAGTTCCTCATCACTTGTCTACACGCGGGCAACAGGAGACACTGGACGCAGGAGCATTGAACTACCAACATGTAAACGCCTCAGGCAAATGACTCGATACAAACTCGTGCACCATGTCCCGAACATCAGGAATCGTTCGTCCGGATCCCCATGAACTCCTGATTGGAGCACCGGTGTCGGACTGACGTGCAAAATTAGTTCCTCATCACTTGTCTACACGCGGGTGCCAGGAGACACTTGACGCAGGAGCACTTAAGTAAGTAAACGCCTCAAGCCAATGATTCGACACAAACTCTTGCGAAACGACCAGAAACATCAGGAATCGTTCGTCCGGATCCCCATGAGCTCCCGATTGGAGCACCGGTGTCGGACTGACGTGCAAAATTAGGTTCTCATCACTTGTCTACACGCGGGTGCCAGGAGACACTGGACGCAGGAGCATTGAACTGAGTAAACGCCTCAGGCAAATGATTCGACACAGACTCGTACGAAACGTCCAGAAACATCAGGAATCGTTCGTCCGGATCCCCATGAGCTCGATTGGAGAACCGGTGTCGGACTGACGTGCAAAATTAGGTTCTCATCACTTGTCTACACGCGGGTGCCAGGAGACACTGGACGCAGGAGCATTTCACTACCAACATGTAAACGCCTCAGGCCAATAATTCGACACAAACTCGTGCGAAACGACCAGAAACATCAGGAATCGTTCGTCCGGATCTCCATGAGCTCCCGATTGGAGCACCAGTGTCGGACTGACGTGCAAAATTAGGTTCTCATCAGAGGTCTCTACGCGGGTGACAGGAGACACTGGACGAAGGAGCATGTGACTAACAACAAGTTCGCATCCAAATTGCATCAAACAAATATGTCAGAACAATTACTCGACATAACTAAACTCGTGCTCCAAATCCCGAAAACATCAGGAATCGTTCGTCCGGATCCCCATGAGCTCCCGATTGGAGCACCGGTGTCGGACTGACGTGCAAAACTAGGTTCTCATCACTTGTCTACACGCGGGTGTCAGGAGAGAGCGGACGCATGCGCATCCAAATAGCAACAAGCAAAAACGTCATAACAATTATTCAAAATAATTCGACTCGTGCTGCACTTCACAAAACATCAAGAATCGTTCGTTCGGATCCCCATGTGCTCCCGATTGGAGCACCGGTGTCGGACTGACGTGCAAAATTATGTTCTCATCACTTGTGTCCACGAGGGCAACAGAAGACACAAAACGCATGCGGATCTACACAAGACGCATGCGCATCTACAAAGCATCAGGTAAACGCCTCAGATCAATGACTCGAAAAACGTCCGAGCTCCACGCCCCAAACATTAGGAAACGTTCGTCTGGATCCCCATGAGCTTTAGATTGGAGCACTGGTGTGGGACTGACGTGCAAAATCAATTTCTCGTCCCTTGATTCCACGCGGGCGACAGGAGACAATGGACGCAACCTCATACACATAGCAGCAAGACGCCTCCAATCCATTACTCTACACAGAGTCGTGCACCACGCCCCAAACATCAGGAATCGATCATCCAAATCCCCAAGAGCTCCCGATTGGACCACCAGTGTCGGACTGACGTCCAAAATGATCTGCGCAGGCAACAGAAGAAAGCGGACGCATGCGCCTTCAAGTAGCAACACGCAAACGCCTAAGAGCAATGCTTCGTCAAACATGTGTGCGCCACACAACGTCCGAAGCATCAGAAATCGTTCGTCCGGATCCCCATGAGCCTCCGATTGGAGCACCGGTGTCGGACTGACGTGATGAAAGAGATTACCGTGGCTTGTTTCCACTCGGGTGAGTCCGGGTGGTTGACAGTGGGGCCCACCGTCAATTGGCCCCCCCAGGGCCCCCTGGCCAGGGGGGGGGTCAAATCGCGCAACCCCACCAGCCCATTCAGGAAAGATGTCTAGACAAGTTGCCCTGATCAGGGATGTGGAGGCGAATGCAGTGGAGTCAAATAATGGGTAGGACGTCGTACCCCCCCCCAAAAAAATAGAGAAGGAATCGTAGGATGAGCGGGATGAGGAGGAGCAGGGATAGGGGGAAGGGGAGGAGGGAGGAGGACGAAGGATGACCAGATGGATGAGGAAGATGAGGAGGAGGGCCAGTAGCAAAGACAGAGGCCTCTTGGATCCCGGAGTCTATTCGGACTTCTCTCGAGAGCTTCTTGGGACCTTCGCGGGGCGCCTCGAGGCAGTCCCAGGGGGCTCTTGAGGCGCCTCACGCAGGTGCCTCTCGGGTGCCTCTCGGGACGATTGTGGGGGCCTCCTGGGCCGTCGGAGAGCTGATGAGAAGAAAATGCCCAAATCCTTCAAAAAACCAAGGGAACATCAGTGATTGTTGCCCTTTCGGGCCTTCCTGGAGGACGTCTTGGGGGTCTCGTGGGTGCTTCTTGGGGGCATCTGGGGGCCATCGTGGGAGCCCCCGTGGGGTCTCCTGGGCACTTCTTGGGGCCTTGCTGGGGCACC